TTTAAATGAATAATCAATATGTTGACAAGTGATAATTATTAATTAGTAGACATAATATGGTGACACATGGCAAAAAAAGAATATAATATGCATTAATTAAGATGTTTAATAAGATGACACATATCAAAAAGGAGAATAAAACTATTCTTTTATTAGAGTAAGGATTTTTTGTTTGATTTGTTTAACAATTTTGCTAACGTAAATACATATCATTAGCAATAAATTAATATTTCACTTCATGTGCTGATTAGTATTATGAAAAGAGATTCCTTTTTTAACCACCCTAAAAAAACTAAACGAAATGAAAAATATTTGATTTATAGCTACAAAGTAACTGAAACATGCTTCATTTTGTAATCCAACATATTTTTGAAGGGTCAACATTTTCGGATATCCGGTTTAATATCCAGTCCGTATCCGAAATTTCAGATATCCGAATTTTGGATATCCAAAATTTCGGATATCCGGATTTTCAGATACGGATTCGGATGTCAATAAGTACCATCCGAAATTTTCGAATATTCAAAATTTAGGATATCCGGTTTTGAACACCCCTAGTTGCAGGCATGGGGTGCATTTTTGGGTTTGTGATGGAAAAGCAAGAAGGTAATTATATTGTAAAACACTAGAACTTTTACAATTATTTTTTCATTAAATTATAACCTTAGATTTACTATCTTGAATAATATTTTACAAATTGAAGCTATTGCTGACTGTTTTTGTATATACAAGGTTCGATTTAATTGTTTATATAGTAATATTTAATTATTTTATTGATTATCATTTTTTTCAGGGTAACAACAAATATTAAATCAAAGTTTCTATTGGGTTTTTGTACTTCATCCTTTTCTTGTGTAATTAGGAAAATATATAACAATAGAATTTTGGGATAATGACTTAAAAGTAGGGGTGAGCGCGGTGCGGTTCGGTGCGGTTATTAGCTAAAACCTCACCACTAACCGCAAATGCGGTTAATCCATTTTGAAAACTGCATAGTGCGGTTATTTTTGTGGTGCGGTTAGGCGGTTATTTTTGCGGTGCGGTTTTGTTTTTTCTGTGTTGCGGTTATTAACCGCATGGATTTGGTGCGGTTATTTTGTGTGGTTTTTAACCACAATTTAGAGCTCAAACGGTTTTAAAAGTTCAAACATATTACTTGTAATAATAAAAAAACCATAAAGTATAAGACAATTAACTTAAATTACAAACAACTAATATCTTAAAAACATCAAATCAATAGTAATTTACAAAAAATATCTTAAAAATTGTCGAATTTCACCATTTTTCAAAGTTAAACATAACAAAACACCAATATTTTGGTCTTCTAGTATTTTATCCATCTTTCATCCATGAAACTTATGTTATTTTTAGTATTTAATATATTAATAAATAATTAAAAAAATTGTATATAACATATGCGGTGCGGTGCGGTTTTTTTGCGGTTTTTGAAAACTAATAACCGCACCGCACCGCAAATTTGCGGTTTTTGAAAAACAGAAAACCTCATCATCGGTTTTAATTGCGGTTGCGGTTTATGCGGTTTTTGCGGTTAAATTTAATTGCGATACGGTTTTTGCTCACCCCTACTTAAAAGGGTAATATATTCTTCGATTTGTACATATTTGGTCACTAACTTTATTTTTTGTCCATATTTACCCCCTTCAACTTGTTAAACTGTACACATTCAGTCCTTATGACCGGTTATTTCAGGTTACCCGGTAAAAATGTCTTAATAGGGTAATATATTTCTCATTTTGTACACATTTAGTCCTTAATATTTTTGTACATATTTAGTTCTTAATTTTTTTTGCTGCAAAATATATTTTTTTTTGTAATCATTCAATACTTATGAATGTTTTCTTTATGTTTTTTCACACAACATCTTATATGAAACAATCATTAACGAGATGTTTTAAGCTTTTGATATTTATGTCCATCGCGATCTTGACTATTTGGTTGCTTAGGTCATGTGTTTTGAACGTCATAACTTTTTCATACTATCTCGGATTTTAACGATATTCATATCTGTCTTTGTATTTTAGTCTACTAAAACTTTTGTTTAGATTCCTCTTGTTAAAAAGTAATATATTTTTTAATTACGATCTTTATAGCCATACGGTTTTTATGAATGCATGTATGGATGTTTTTTTATAAAATCGTAAGTAAAAACATATTATATTTTAACGGGAGTAATATTAACGAAAGTTATAGCAGACATAAAAAACGAACACATAGATATAAAGATCATTAAAATCAGATATAATATGAAGAAGTTACGACGTTCGGAATACAAAACCTAAGCCAAACCACAAGACCTATGCAACCAAGCAGTCGAGGCCGCGATGGACATAAGCGTCAACAACCTCAAATACCTCATTAATGATAGTCTCATGTTAGATGTCGTGAGAAAAATCCTAAATAAATCATTCATAAATACTGAATTGGTACAAAAACAAAAAGTGACTTATTTTGAAATATATATATATATATATATATATATATATATATATATATTATATATATATATATATATATATTAAGGACTAAATATGTACAAAATATTAAGAACTAAATGTGTACAAAATAAGAAATATATTACCCTAATAAGTCATTTTTCCCGGCTAACTTGGAGTAACCGGTCATAAGGATTGGATGTGTACAATTTAACAAGTTGAAGGGGTAAATGTGGACGGAAAAAAAAACTCAGTGACCAAATGTGTACAAATCGAAAAATATATTACCCTTTTAAGTCTCCCTAGAATTTTACTTTTAACCTCATTAAGTTGAATTTTCATGACATTTGTATAATATATGCATGAGATCATATTCTTATGTTTTGAGATTTGTTTTAGAAGAGATTACTTTGTAGCCAGCAATAGCAGTTACTTTCAGAAGATATATGGCAAAGATTTTGTTGGAACAGCTACTGATCTAAGACCTGATTGTGGCATAAATCAAATGGTGATTATTTTTATAATTCTACAATTATCAATGCCTTATTACTTAGACTTAAAGTTGTTAAATGGTTGATGTTTTTTTTTTGTGATTATTTGCAAATTATTGAGAAGCTCTCGGTTAAAACCCCTGCTGGTGAAGTAAAGTTTGAAAGTCCTAAAGAAATAGCCAAAGAATACCAGGTTGAATGGACACAACAAAATCTGAAACAAAACTTCTCAAGCCACCAGAAAAGCTTATTGTGAGAGTATGATATAGTGTGAAATTACTAAAAGGGTCCTTTTGTGTTTGAATCTTACAGAGGATTACCAGTATGTTCCTGATATTAGCTTTAGAACTGGTAATGTGTCATATTCAAGGTCATAATTTTCTAAGATTTTTTTTCAATTTCTTTATTCTCTTTTTTCTGATACTTCTAAATTTTATATTTATAAAGGGCTATGAAGGGGTTCATTGAGAAAACTGTGAATATGATGAAGAGTGAAAAGTTATTTGAAACTAAAGGAGGTCTAATTATCCTCTAAGATGTATGTACTGACTTGTAACGTTTGCTTATGAAGATGTACATTGCTATATAAATCTTCAAGATTTAATATTTCTTGTGATGCGTTAATGGCAAATATGCGATTAAATTTGTTTTTTTTTTCCTTTTTTTTAGATTGAGAATGAATACGAGTCAATAGGAAAGCGACTTGGAAGTGTTTGACATAATTACATGATTGAGCTGCAAATCTTATCGTTGGATTAGGGACAAGTATCCAATGGGTCGTATGCAAGCAACATAATGCCCTAGTCCAATTGTAGCACTATTATGACCCGATTCAAATTCATTTAGTAGAATCTCATTAATCCTTTATTGGGTTAAATGCAAGAAAAAGCAACTTGATTTTTATGATTTGTTTTATTATACCATCACACTTTTTGTAACATCCCAAAATCAGGTATATATCCCCTTGGCCCTTCTTCTTTCCCTAAGTTTTCAAATTTAGTCCTTGAAATATTTTATGGAAATTGAGTACATTGGGCATACTGAAAGGTACGTTGCGCGTACTCAGAGCGTGTTCTTGACGCGAAGGCTACCTAGTACGTCGGGCGTACCAAAGTGTACGTTGCGTGTACTAGGTTCAGATTGAAACCCTAATTGTGGGGGTGAGCCCTATAAAAGGAACATATCCGCCTCAAATTTAGCCACCATTTCCAGAGAGTGAAACCCTAAGAGTGCTAAACCTCGTTCTAGAGCTTGTGTGTGTGTTTGAGCTTGATAGTGTTCTTGTGTGCCTTTAAAGAGAAAAAGGTGCCATTGAAGAAGCTACAGTTGGAGTGCAAGCTTTGGATCTGAGCTTTTCAAAGGTTGGAGCATCACTTGGAGGTAAAAAGCTCAAATCTTTCTTAACCTTTTTGTATGTGTGCATTATGGGCCATTTTTATGGTTTTTGTCCCAAAGGTGGATACATTATGAGTAAAGGAGCTCCATAAACCTTGATCTGCCCCTTTTCAGTGTATATTGTGTTTTAGATCCATAAAAATCCAATCTTGGACGTTAAGAGTGAATCATGAATGAGTTGTGAGTTTCTTAAGGAAGTAAGTGGTGTGATTTCGGTGTTGGTGACCTTTACAACCATGCAAAGGTTTAAAGTCACTGACTTTATGGATTGAGATGCTTTAGAGTGACCAGATCTAGGATTTGAGCTCATGTCTTAACCGATTAAGAGAAAAATCATGAAGTTGGTGAAACTGGGGCGTACGCTGGGCGTAATCCCAGTACGCGCAACGTAGGGGTCGAGTGTCCCCAATTCTGTATAGCATCTGAGTACGCCCAATGTACAGAGCTTGTACGCGCTGCGTACTCCTTAGGGTTGACTTTCGTTGACTTTTAGGGTTTAGTCAACAAGTGGACCTTTGGACCATTGGGGGGTAGAATGGTTTTTTACCCTTCTGAGTGAATATAGGAAGGGAGTAGTCTAGCCTTTGAGAGCCGTTTATAACTAGAAGTGAATTTTATATGTGTTTAGGCAAAGGCTAGATCAGTGTTTCGAGTTCGAGATCGTCCGAGTATACTCGAGGTGAGTCTTCTCACTATACATTACCTAGGGTGGTATCTATGTTTGGAATGGAAGGTCATGCGTGTTTGCTTGAGATTATGTGTTTTTATGATTATGTATGCTATGTGCTATTCTAACTGGACCGAAGGTTCCAACGATTTACGAGGCCAAAGGGTCCTCAACCAGACCGAACCGGAGGGTCCAACGAGCTAGACCAGACCAGAGGGTCTAACGAGCTACGGGACTGGAGGGTCTCGCTGAGACACATTGACCAGAGGGTCGTACTGAGTATAGCCTCGAGTGGCAAATTGTTGTATGTGGTATTTTGGGGAACTCACTAAGCGTTCGTGCTTACCGTGTTATGTGTTATGTGTTTCAGGTACCTTTGAGGATCGCGGGAAGACATCGACGTGATTGTACACACACTTCTGATTTGGAGTTGTATTTGTGGATCCTGGAATTGAACAATTGTTTTGAAAACTTTTTAATTGGTTTTTGGAGATTTAATGATGAGACATATGTTTTATGAATAGTAAAAATGAAAATATTGGTTTGAAATTTCTTGTCATTACAAGTTGGTATCAGAGCCTTGGTTTGAGGGATTTGGATACACCTTCGGGCATATCCGGACTCAAACTAAGGATTTGAGAAAAGTTTTCAAAAGAAACAATTTTTCAAAAAAGAGAAAAGGATTTCCAGAAAGAGTGGAATAGAGGAGTGTGTACAATCAGCCAGCGCCCGAACGGTGATTTCCCAAAATACCCTTACGTTATGTGTTATGTTGTTATGAGATGTGTTATGCATACTAGAGTAGGCTAGGTAAATCATATCTTAGGACTAGGGTGGCCTGATATGTGATGCCTTAGCCTAGTAGTTTATGATGTTGTGAGTTGCTTTGAGTGCATGTAGGTAGCAGAGAGTAACTTGTGAGAAGTCTGCTAGAGAGTAGGTTGTATTCAGGGTGGTATAAAGTACTTGCGAATTGGGATCCTAAGAGGAGGACTTTGTGTGGATACGGATATGGTGTGGAAGGTAGTATTGGGCCCGTACTACTGAAAGCACCAGATTGGTAAGAATTCCAAGTAAGAATCCTTAGGGTGCTTAGGAACAAGTAGGAACGATTGATCGATTGTGAGTAATCTCAGTTGCGTCTCTAATTATTTTATGCCGTATTTCAGAGGCATCATGGTGGGAACGCACCACAACCCAGGAGGCAGTGGTACCGGTGGTACTAGTGATGAGGAGATTCGTAGGTTGATTCACGAGGAGTTGGATGCAGCCATTTAAGCTGAGATACCGGAGATGTTTGGGTCTATCATGACCACACTGATTGAGACATTCGACGAGCGATATGTTGCTTTGACCGAAGTTGCTGCTGTTGCAGCCACCGCAACTTTCGCCGCTGCTAGGCCACAGGGGGGTGACTCGTTGCTGTACCGAGAGTTCAGCAACACGAAGCCACCAGAGTTTGACAGGATGTAGGACCCGATTGCTGCCATTGAGGGGTGTTTCTACACTTGTTCCTGCCTGGAACATTTGAGGGTACGATTCACGCTAAACCAGCTTTGCTTGGGAGTGAAGGACTGGTGGAAATTTGTGACAACTGACTTTTCTACTACAGAGCTGACCGCGGTGACTTGGGAGAGGTTCAACGCTATGTTTCGAGATGAGTATGTTCCCCCGATGGAGAGGGAGCGATTGGCCCAAGAGTTCTTGTCCCTAAATCAGGGGACTAAGTCTGTGACTGTGATCACACAGATGTTTCATGAGAGAGCGTTATTTTGCCAGAGCACGTGTCTACTGAGCAGGCGCGTATGAGCCGATATCTGAGCATATTAAGGAGAGACATTCGTGATTTCATGGTGAACTCATCATACCGGACATTTTTCGAGCTCCAGGCGAATGCTCAAAAGAGGGAGATTAAGCTAGAGACTCAGGCCAGGGAGGAGGCGGAGTCTCAGACGAGGGATAGGCGGTCGGCACAGTCTCAGCCGGAGGCCAAGCGGGCAAAGTGATTCGAGATCAGGAGATCAGAAGGGCCGCACTTGTGGGAAGTGTGGCAAGAGCCATGATTGTATGTGCAGGTTAGGTGTGTGTTACAAGTGCGGGAAGGAGGGGCATATCGCGAGGGATTGCCCCAAGGGATTTTCGGTTTGCTTCCATTGCAACGAGACTAGCCATAGGAAGGCAGAGTACCCACAATTGATTCAGGGATCAGTGTAGGGATCTACGGCTTCTACCACTCGAGCTACAAAGAGTCGGCTCGTGAAGGCCGAGGCACTGAAGGCTCGCGACAGAGCCTTCCAGTTGACAGCGGAGGAGGTCCGCGCAGCACCCGATGTTGTGGCTGGTGTGTGATCTTTTGATTATTGTTTTGTTTGTATATGGTTCTTATATATGATATGTTTAGGTACTTTTCTTGTGAATTTTGTATCAACTTTTGTGTTGTTTGACTCGGATGTGAGTCGATCTTTCGTATCGCTAGCATTTAGTCGTCATATCAGTAGCCGACGTGAAGCATTGAGTCGACCTTTGAGAGTCTCCATATCTAATGAGCATGTTCTTTTGCGATTGATGTGATCCGGGGATGTGTGCTTGAGATTTTTGGAGTCGAGTTTCCGATAGATTTGGTACCTATCGCGATGGGGGATGTCTGTGTCATCATGGGCATGGACTGGTTGAGCTAATTCGAAGCGATGATTGACTGTGAGTGACAGCTGGTGACCATCCGAAACCCTAGTGGGGGAGTACTTACAGTGTTCGGCGAGGGTATCCGATCTGGGCCAGCATTTTATTTAGTTATCAGAGCGAGGCAGAGCTTGTAGTAGGGTTGCATGGGCTTTCTGGCGTATGTGTCGGATACACAATATATTACGGAGAGACCGAGTTCTATCATTGAGGTCCTAGTAGTTAGCGAGTTTCTGAACATTTTCCCCGAGGAGTTACCTGGTGTGCCTCCCGAGAGGCAGGTGGAGTTTCGCATTGATTTGCTTCCTGGAGCGGCACCTATCGCCTTGTGCCGCCAAAGATGCAGGAGTTATTCTCGTAGCTTCAAGAGCTATTGGGAAAGGGATTTATCCAACCGAGTAGCTCGCTGTGGGAAGCGTTGATCCTTTTGGTTAAGAAGAAGGATGGTTCACACCGGATGTGCATTGATTACCGGGAGTTGAACAAGTTGACGGTCAAGAACCGTTATCCATTGCCGAGGATCGACGATCTGTTCGATCAATTTCAGGGTGCATCTTGGTTCTCAAAGATCGATTTGAGGTCTGGTTATCATCAAATGAGATTTCGTGAGGAATATATTTCGAAGACAACATTTAGGACTCGTTATAGGCATTGCGAGTTCGTGGTGATGCCCTTTGGGCTCACCAATACACTATCAGCGTTCATGGATCTCATGAATCGGGTATGCAGACCTATGTTGGATCGTTCGGTGTTCGTGTTCATTGACGATATTTTGGTGTATTCGAGGTCTAGAGAGCAGCATGAGGAGCATTTGAGAAAGGTTCTCGGAGTATTGAGATCGGAGAGGCTTTATGCCAAATTCTCCAAGTGTGATTTCTGGTTACGAGAGGTCCAATTCTTGGGACACCTCGTTAATCAGAATGGGATTTTGGTTAACCCGGCCAAAATTGAGGTGGTCATGAGTTGGGAGGTGCTG